AAACAGACAGCAAAAAAAAACAACAAATGACATATTGATTGAAGGGCTATGTCAAACCGAAGATCATATTGATGGAAACAAACATGTTGATGAAAAGTTTGAGAATACATAGGCATATCTCAGATACATGTTTGCGCAGCAAAATAAAATTACGACACTTTGAAGAAAATAGCAATTTTTTTTATCTACATGTCAATTTGAGTGTGTCTGAATAATTCCTGAAACGTCAAATGGCGTTTCATTGAGCCACATTGAAATTTAACAAGAATAATGTTTCGAAAATTACTCACCACTAGCCAAAACCAGTCAGTCAGTCGTCATCATTCACACATCTCCAATCTCTGACGACCATCAATCACTCACCATCATTCACTCAGCATCAATCACTCACAATCAATCACTCACAATCAATAACTTAACATCAATCACTCAGCATTAATCACGTAATATCAATCACTCAACATTAATCACTCACAATCAATAACTCACGATCAATCACTCACTATCAATTATTCACCTTCAGTCACTAACCATCAATCTATCACCATCAATCACTCACTATCACTCACACACCACCATTTACACCCAACCATGTCAGTTACCACCAACGTCATGTAGAAACAATACACAAAATCAATAGCAAAAAATTACAAAAAAATGCACAGAGGATAAAGCAACTCCAATAATTACTCATAATATAGTTTCAAACCATTTTATTTGTAGTATTGCCTATGCAATCATTGCGATTTGTGCATTTTTCTGTTCATGCTTTTTAGAAGCTGTTATAAAACTTAACCCTCTGTGCTTTTGTAAAACCTTTTTATTTTCATTTACAATGTCTGTTTGTTGTGGGTTCATAGCAAATCTTCTAAATCAATTTTGAAACCGCTTTTAATGCAGTATAAATAAAGCAGGAGTATTCTACACTAGCAGTCTCGTATATTATTATATAACAGAAAGCGATATTGCACTGTCATGCAGTCCGGATCTAGAAATGTTTTTTTTTAAATTTATTTTTTGTAATAAATAATTTTTTTAGCGCAATTTCCATACTGGTAAAAATTGCGTTTAATAACTCATCATTTCTGGATGGATGGATGTGTGTCCGCAGCCTTTAAGTCGTATCTCCTCCTCAACGAAGCAATATCCAGGACTAGTTCCAAAGCAAATATGTTAAGCAAGTTCCAAGGATGATTGTGGGCCAAAAAAATTCCCGGAATTCCTTCCTGGATTTCCCGGAAAAGCCAAAAAACCTCGAACAAATGCAGTTTTTCCTCCATATCTCGGCAACCAGACCACTTAGCGACTTGAAACATTTACCAATCGATTCCTGCCATAATTTAAAACAATATTGCCGAAGAAAGTTTTCAAAAATATCCCTACGTTCGGTCACAAAAAATTAATTAAGAACATTTAAACTGAGCATCGTGTAGGCCTAGGATGATATTTACTACTTTTTTTAAACTGAGCATCGTGTAGGCCTCCGTTGATATAGGTTAATATAGTTGTCTTTTTTTAGCGCAATTTCCATACTGGTTTCTATTTTGTTTTGAATTATTAAAACTACTTGTGTTGCATTATTTATTTGCTGAATATATGATTTATCTCGATTTAAAATTATTATGGATAACATAAGGAAATTGCGCTTAAATTGTCACTAGACTTTTTATTAACTTGTTTTTACATTCTCGTATATACAGTAGGGCCTACAGAGGAATGTTTTTTAATCGTGCACAAAACTAACATGAAATTTTGACAGTTTTCACAATTTTACACCTTCATAATACGGAGAATCAGGGATTTATTTTAATCCGGCAAAAAATCTAAATCCACGATAACTTGAGTACTCTTACAGTTATGTTGAGGAAAGTTCATGTATACGCTTTGATCAAATTTGTAGTTTTGTTTCAGCTTTAGAAATAGTTCCTGTTTTTGAAAAGCCAATAAATTGACTACTGTTTAAGTTAGATGGATGACATTTCAAATGTAAATAATATATTGCATGCGCATGCGTCCGTCAAATTTTGAGCGATTTCTTCTATCCTAAAATAGTGTTTTACTCTATTTCGATTGTGACCTACTTAGGTCTCCTTTTTTTAATTGTTTGATTTTATGATATTTAATTGGCCTTGAGTGGTCTGTCGTTCAAACTTAAGAAATTTTCCATCACGCTCATGTGATAATATTCACCACTGAGTTCGTTTGGCTCGTGCTTTGGCTACTTCCTCCCAATAGTCCTTGACATTGAGGTCGACATCCCATAATTTTGGAGTCGTTTATAAGGCAGGAATTTTCCTCGCACGCTAGTCCAGACCAGACATTGAGGAGAGAGAGCCAAGTACGACGCCATGTTATATTTTGTAGTTTAAGCAGCAATTATCTTTGAATACCATTGTACTCAGTATTTTTCTGTGTCTCTATTTGACAACGTATAGGTTGCAGGGGCGGAACTACAGTGCCGCCAGACCCCGCAATGCGGGGGGGGGGGGGGGGCACGCCATTTAGGGGCCCATAGTCGACCATAATAAATTGTTATAGTAAAAAAATAATGTTCTTGCATTTTTGACTTGACGGTAAAAGCTTTTGTAAATAACAAACAGATCTACTACAGTAATGATGTTATACAGTAGCTAACACATGCTGTTGCATAAAACAATATATATGCCTGAACTGTAGTGTGAAAGATAGTCAAACGTTCATGACTTATTTTCTCTTTTTTAAATGGTTAAATAGGGGTGCTCATAAGCTCCTTTTAATATATTTGTACTAAACAAATTAAAAAGCACTTACTTCTCTTTATTATTTTTTTTTAAATACATACTAAGGATAGACATAGCATAAAAAGGAAATATATTTAAAACAAATAATACAAATACAAAAAAAAAACATAAAAATAAACATAACACGAGAAACCATTGCACATACAAAGCTTTCACGCTTCATATTCTTTTCACCGGTTAAAATTGTAAAAAAAAATAATTCAAAACAGACTAATGCAATCACACACAAGACATGAAATTTGTTTAAAATAATTTTTTTTAAAACCCGATTAGGCCTGAAATGACTATCCAAAGTTTGTATTCTGTGTTTGTATATATAGGCCTATATATATATATATATATATATATATATATATATATATATATATATATATATATATATATATATATATATATACGAGCCGACCCGCGGCGTATCAAACGCCGCTATACGCCGGTATTTAGTTGTTTTATTTTCTACTTTTCAGTAATTCATAATTTGTGAATTCGACAGTACCACTGCTGTCACAGAAAATATTTGCTTTAAAACACTATCAGTAAGTCGTTAAGGACGATAAACCCCCCCCCCCCCTTTCTTTCCCCCAACCCCCCCCCCCCCCTTGAAAGCAGCTTCCTCTTAGCTACCTCACCTAAGTTTAAAATCGTTTCCAACTAAATTATCTACCCCTAATAGCCGTCACTAAACCCGGCTCTACGATCGTAAAAATTTAGCGTGAACCACAGCTCACCTGACTTCCTAGAGAGGAAGAGAGGGGACTGCAAGGCGCGCTTACAGCTTGTTTTCTAACGTCTCCAAGAAGAGAATTATATATATATATATATATATATATATATATATATATATATATATATATATATATATATATGGGGGGGCAGAATTTTTTTTTTGCGGGGTGGCCATTTTTTTCTAGTTCCGCCACTGATAGGTTGTATTGATTACTTAGGTGTCGTCAGTGTGTTATTCTTTAAACTCGTAAGTTGGGTCTTTCATTATTTGTATATTTCTATTATTTTTACATAGCTATTTATTATTTAGACTTGTATATATATTAGAAGGTTTAGGTTGATTAAAAGTATTATTAGTTGCAGTAGGTCTACGTGTGTGTTTTTACCCTAGACATTATATTCGAGTCCACGGAGAGTTTTTGTTGTCTGGTAATCTTTTAGTTTCGTAAGTCATCAGTCTAAAACCATCCAAAACGAATTCGGGTCTTGCGTTATCTTTACCAGTGGTTGAGGTACGTAATACGATGTAAAAACTATAACGATAGCGCTGTTCCAGATAGTTAAACAAAATTTCGTGTATAACTACAAAATCTTATAATTAAATTTAATTTCATATTTTATTGACCTCCAATAAACGGAAGATATACTTTACTGATGTGTTCTAAAATACTGAGTACCATTTCAGTTATGTGGACGAAATTTTAAACGTAGGTATAGGATCCTATTTCCTAGATACAAATAATTTTTTTTTCCGATGAAAGAAAGCATTAATTTACATTATTTCTGTTTTCTGAAAACAGATTTCTTCTACCAGACCGATTTCTTCTAAACTTTTAACGTAGGTTAAGACTCGACGACAATGCATTGTGACACAAAATGTGACTAAATTAGATGTTTAATTAATTTCTAAAAAAATAATTTTAGTATCTTTATAAAGTCTTTTTTTTTCGCTCAATTATGCACACATTGTTTACATTCATGTGGTGCTTAATTCTTATTTCTACTCTTTTAGTTCTGTATTAACTTTTATCAACGATTGTCAAAAAAACTTGGACAACCATTCCTTAGAATGACATCAGACCTTAGCCAAGAATTCCCATAACTTTTTAAACTGCAAATGTGTGTCGTCACAGTTCCCGTGGGCGGGAGAGCTGACATCACAGGTTAACACCACTTGGAGGGAGGGGAGGGACACCAAATTTTAAAATAGCAACCTTCCTAACAATAAAATTTTTTAATCAGGCATAGTGATAAAATAATAATGGAGAAAGTTGTTGCAGACGGCAAAGAAACGAATACAATTGAAATACAATTGAAATATCACATTAGTAATAAAAGTGCTCTGCAAACCCCATCAATATCTATGTAGTGAAATCGATATTTCATATGCATCAGTCTGTTTAATGAACTTTGATGTATTCTGTTTGAGCTGTCGTCACTTACAACCCCAACACTGCCACGCCGCTGACTTGTAGTCCGCCTGTGACCTGCTTGTCAATTAAAGTCAACCTCACACACGTAGTGTTTGGTAAACCAACAAGGGGAGTCGTTGATGTAGTCCGGGTAGGTGTAGGACACACAGTCCTCTTGGTAGTAACTGTCGCTGGGCTCTCCTGTTTGAGAAAATTAAAATACTGAATTTGTATAGTTAACACATTATATTTTTCATGAATAAATGCGATCAAGGCTGTGATCTTTTTAACACATTTTCGGTTGATTTTTGTAAAAATAAAACGTAAAAAAATAGGTTTTAATAACAATTTTCTATGTCCCAGCTCTAAACAGTAAAAAAATATTTTCTCTAAATATAAAATAATGCACCTTTACTAAAATAATTATAAATAAAGTATTTTTAAGTAAATCGGAATATAAGTTTAGATTTAAATGTGACAAAACTTTATTTTGTCTTGCTGGTTTAAAAAAAACGAAGAAATAAATAATCCTAAGCGAGTGAGCCCCGTAAATGTTAACCTTATTGTGGATTTAGTACTAGTTTCAGGAGAAAAAATACTGCAATTTATATAGAAAATATATACTTTTACCATTGTCCGCCCCCTCGGAAAATTTAGTCAGCCCCCCCCCCCCCCCTCCCCGTGAGAAAAAAATGAAACTCGTACTAATCGTCACAGTAACTATGTCAATACATGTTAAAATATTTTTTTAAAATCATAGATACCACTTAAAACAATTAAATTAATAAAATTCATATTATTGCTTAGTTACAGTCTCGACCAGAGTTTCTTCCAGGCATCTCTTCGAGGGGGACGAAGCCCCCTGAAATTTTTTTACCGTCGCCCCCCCCCCCCCCCCCCGAACGAAATGAAATTTAGATAATTTATATAGAAAATATATACTTTTAACAGTGTCCGCCCCCCCCCCCCCCGAAGAATGTCTACCCCCCCCCCCCCGAAAATTTCAAGTGCCCCCCGGAGAAAAAAGTCTGGAAGAAACACTGGTCTCGACAATTCTAATCAGTTCTATTTACGTTCTGCAAATCAACACATTCATCGTGGAGAAGAAGACTTAGACAAAAATATATTTTTAAAAAATTTTAATTTCGGTTGAAAAAAAAATTTGCTTGAAGAGCAATAAGAGAATCAAATACCAGGAGAGAAGATTTCTTCCTTCCACGCTTCGTCAATCTTTGTCTCATCATCCTCCCACCTCAAGTCACCTTCAGTCAATATGTCATTTAACCCAAACCAAGTTTCTGTCTTTGGAGGGTCTAGGATTCCTTTCATGACTTGAAACTTCTCGGCATTTTTAGGTGTGAAGAGATATGCACCTCTGGCTTAAGAACGAATTAAAAAAAAAAAATTTTGTTTCGTACATATTTTCGCTGTGGTTTGAAGTTATAGTTTTGGATATATCGGTATTTGTTTCGCTTTTTAAATTTAAGGTTTAATTTGCTTTCAATTAGCCTACTATGTTTTTACTAAGAGGTTTTTAACGCGCATGGCATGGACACTGTTTTATAAAGCGGTTTTAATTTTAATTGTATCTAAATGTGATGTTTTTATTAACACTTTTGATATAGTATTTAGTCGTCATGTACTGAGTTTTTATAAAGAGGTTTTAATTTGCATTGCGTTTGTCGTGATTGGGGTTGAGGTAACATGTATTATCTTTTTTTAAAGAGGTTAAAACAACATTTAAAAATGAGAGTGTACTGAAAAAAAATGACTTGTGATCATTTTAAGGATTTATGTATAGAAAACTTGTGTTAGATTTTCAAACTGCTTTAATTTGTAAGGTATAAGTTAACACAATATCAGAAAATGTTACTAATTATGATCAAAGATACCTTTACAGTCGTTTCTAGCTGTGATGTAGTCTGCTGTTCTATTCGACAAGAAGATGCAGTAGGTGTTGTTCTCCGTTGTTGTGATGAAGAAGTCGGTCGTGTTACAGAAGTTGGTGCTGTGGTAAATCTTCTCGTCATTCACAATCTGAGTGCTGGGCCCGGACACGACTACCCAGGACCCTGTAAGGCGGAGTGAAGAAGTGATACATTGGGGAGATATTTTCAGTCAAGATTAAGTACCACCTATACAATAACTTGGTGGTGTGATAGTAAATGTAAAAGGGAAAACTGAAAAGCAACTATGCTATTTAGGCTAGAGAAGCACAGTGTAAAAATGTGTGGTTAACGTTTTTCGGCTAAAATATTTGATTGTTCTAACCATCACCATTTCATATTTTTTACTAGGCTTGCTTTATAAATGTAAGTAAACAATGCTCTTTAAACTTAGCGAACTATTGGGCAGATAAAGAAGAGTTCATGTGTTTACCAAGTCCCATTTACTTTTCCTAACATGAGTTAGGCACCCGTCAGAGATGGGTGGATTTAGGGACCTTCTACTGACTTGGACCAGGATTCGAACTCGAGATGTTTGTGTTAGCAGGCTGGCGCTCTACTACTTCGTCCACGCCGTCTCACAGACTTATTTTATGCTTGTTTACTAACCTCCAATTATAAAGAGAATTATGAATTCTTTGGGACAATGTCAATCATTTATAACCCCGTTGATTTTAAATGGTTGAAACTTATTGTTTCATTATTTTAAAATTATATTTTGGTCATGCTGTTGTTATGTCCGACCTCCGACAGCCAGTCAGGAGCGAACACCCCAGGTTCGTTTGGTATGGTACCGATAGAAGACGTTGTAACGGAATCTCATCAACTTACCGTGAGCTCGTTTATGCAGTCTAGGGGTAAAACACGACAAATCGAAGAGACTCACACGACTTAAACTATGAATACCTTTTTAATTTATGTACAAGATAATGACACTAGGTAAGATCAAAATGTACAGATTCTCAGTGTAATATAAATAAACTCAACTCCAACTTACAGTTTGAGAAAAATCACAATATCACAGCTGTGATAAATCATTACTACACACAACTGAATGGCCTCATAATAATTACAACAAAAGACCAAGGAGAGACAATTTGCCTCTACAACAATAGAAATCCTTATACATGTTAAACTATCACCGATAGTCAAAAAGGTGTAATAATACACCAGAACACAAATTCAGTAAACTACAACTAGTCACATAATTCCTTATACAAAAGGTAAAATCATGTCACAAAATAACAATACTGCAAAATGGCGTACCTAACCACAGGCACACCTCTCCTGGTCCCTAGGTCAATCTGGCGGCCTCTGAACTTGAGAATCCCGTGATTAAATACAACTCAGAGTAAGGGGAAATAACTCAAAAGTCTTACGACTATTGGTTGAGGGTCAGTCAAGGATCCTCACGGTCGCAAGTCCATTGGTTGAGGTTCTGCCAGGGATTAAACTTACAATCACATGATGTGACAGCGTTCAGTTGACCGGGTTGTACCAGTGAACTGACAATTCTCCCAAGGACAAATACATAGCTCAGGTGATTAAATATACATAAAGCAAAACAGACCTAAGTAGGTCACATCCCCTCCCTTTTAGAGAGGCATTTTTGTTACACAAAAATGGCAATCACTATATGGAACAAATCTGACACAAAAAATGTCCAATTATAGTAACTAACAAAATTTCTATGTCAAGAAATAACATCCTTAAGAATTAAAGGGAAACAATTCACCTTTTTACAATTTACCAAAGGGAAACAATCCTTCCCAAAATAATAATACATCAAAGTTCCTTATGCAAAGGAAACAAAACATATCCATCTGGATATAACATGTGGGAAACTTACAACTTAATTCCTTTATTTAAATCTCCCAATATAACATCACTGAATAATGTGATACATTTTTATAACAACTCAATGCACATTATACAAAACCACCTTTAAATAAGGTTCATTTGAAAATAAGAGGCATTTTCAACAAGTAATCAGTTTTGAAAAAACCGTACAATTCTGATCTGATTGAAAGCTTGTAACTCCAGCCACCAGGCTACAGTTTAATCAACCATAACATTTGCAAAATGGTTATAACTAACCAAAAAAGTTTCACAAGATCAATGTGAACGTCAAAAGTTGTTTTACATTCTTGACAAACAGTCAGCTACAATGTTGTCAGTTCCTTTAATATGGGAAATTACCAAATTAAAATTTTGGAAAAATAGACACCATCTTAAAATTCTGTTGTTATTCTGCCCCAACTTAGTGGTGAACTTAAGAGGATCATGGTCAGAAAATACCATGACGGGATTTATGGAAGAAGTGACATAGACTTCAAAATGTTGTAAGGACAAAACCAAAGCTAAAGCTTCTTTTTCAATAGTGGAATAATTCTTTTGATTCTCATTTAACTTTCTAGAGAAAAAGGCTATTGGATGATCGATCCCTCGGTTGTCTTCCTGGAATAAGACTGAGCCAATGGTTAAATTGCTAGCATCAATGGCAAGTTTAAAAGGCTTGCTGAAATCTGGTGCAGCCATAACAGGAGCATTAGATAAAAATGACTTAATGGTCAAAAAGGCTTCATGACATTTAGTTGACCATTCAAACTCAACACCCTTTTTCAATAAGGCCGTAAGTGGTTCAGCTACAGCTGAAAAGTTTTTACAAAACCGCCTATAGTAATCTGCCATCCCAAGGTATGGAGGGTAAAGTTTTAACTACCTGTGAGAATGTCTGATTCTCATTAGAAGATAAATGTTCAAGATGGTCTAACTGGGTCAAAATGGGGAATTTAACAATTTAAGAGTAGCATCATCAAATTTACTAGATATACTTATAAGTAACAAACTTAGCTGTGGAGAAAGAGATAGTGAATTTACATGATAAACCAGTTGTTTCTTTCTCCGGTCTGGGAAGTAGGTGGCGCAGTCCTTGGTAATCTTGTTAAATGCTTCGTCTAGCACAAGAATCGGTCTCATCGGCCTTGGGAATATTTTGACTGGGATTCCCAACCAACTGACAGTTCTTACAATGTCTGCAATAACGGGTGTCATCGTTGTGCATTATCGGCCAAAAGAACAGTTCATTTTCACCGTCGGGGTCTGTAGAGAAAGGGTTCTGAACTTCCTGGGGGTGGACTTTGCTTCCCGCTAAGTCATTACCTAGGAGCAAGTGTACTCCTGGGACAGGTATGGAATCTATCACCCCAAGGATAACATCTCCTTGGATGAGCTGATGTCTCAAGTTGAACTTATGTAGTGGAACTACTGTTGGTTCAGCTCCCACTCCTTGAATGATGGTGACATCACCGGTGTTGGTTTCTGGAGCGATGTTCAATGAGTTTCTCAGCAAAAGTGACTGAGAAGCCCCAGTGTCTCTTAGGACGACGATGTTCCGCGATGATGCTGGGTCTCCAGGGTTGCTGATGACAGCATCTGTCATGAATGATGTGAAGCCAACAGTTCTCGATTCTTCACAATTGGTTGCTGCTGATGTAACCGGTTGGTGAAGAGGATAGTCATAAGATGACTGGACGAAAGTGGTGGTCACTTCATTACCTCCCTGTGAACACGCTGGTGTAGTGACATCACGACGGGCGAGGTTCACCTTTGGCCTTGCTTGATGGGGGAGAGCGTTACGAGCTGTTCGTATATACTCTCGGTTGTCTCGCTGTCGCAGGAAACAGTTCTTGATGATGTGCCCAGGCTTGGAACAATAGTGGCAGATCAGTCGCCTGGCTGTGACTCTGGGTATCTGTGTTGATTGACGAGATCTCAGCAACTGGCCAGCAGGGGGATTGCTGCTGATGAGAGGTAGTACCGGATTGTATTTGGTACCAGAACCCTGTGACTTCTTATGTACCAGCTCGTATGTATCAGCTGATTCTGCTGCCCTTTTGATGTCTGTTATTCGGTTATCCAAGATATGTAGTCTGATCTCTTCAGGTACGGCGTTGAGGAAATCTTCTCTTAGTATCAGACTTCTGAGTTTGTCGAAGTCGTCGACATTCTCAGAATGGAGCCATCTTGAAAAGACTTTTTCTTTTTCAAAAAGGAACTCAACATAGGTTTGGTTCTGTTGTTTCCTAATTTTCCTGAACTTAATTCTGTAGGCTTCTGGAGTTATTTCGTAAGCCTTCAGAATGGCAGCCTTGACCTTTTTGTAATCTGATTGGACTTCGCGAGAGAGTGCCTGGTATGTGGTGGCAGCCTTACCAATTAAAACAGTGCTTAGTAACGTTGTGACTACGTTACTAGGCCATTGACAACTTTCAGCCATGTTCTCAAATGTATAAAAAAATACAACAAGATCTGACTCATCAAACTTAGGGACTAATTTGCAAAACTGGGCCAATGTTTGGGCCACAGACAACTGAGAAGGACCTTCTGACTTCGAACTACTGTCAATAATACCAAACTCATATTCTAACCGCTTCATCTGAACTTCTCTTTCTAACTTTAGTCTGGCCTCAAACTCCCTATCAACAATTTCCACTTCCCGTGCCAAAACTTCAGAAAGAAGACTCTCATCTAGCATGCCTTCATTAATGAAGTAAACAATAACTTTGTCCTTCAACACCCTAGAGGTCTGAGTAACAATATAGTCCAGGTTTAACTTTTTGACAACTGTTATCAAATCTTTTCTACTTAAGTTCTCAACTGCTTCCACAGTAGGACTTAACAACAAAGCCTCCATAGCTACAAAGTAACAATGTTTACCTTCAACTGATAACAAAAACAACTACTCAATAACTAGTTCAACTTCTTCGAACTACTGACCAAACTCTTGATCACAAACTCAAACTAGTGCCAAACTTGCACACAAATCAAAATACCGGTCGAGCCCTCACTTGTTATGTCCGACCTCCGACAGCCAGTCAGGAGCGAACACCCCAGGTTCGTTTGGTATGGTACCGATAGAAGACGTTGTAACGGAATCTCATCAACTTACCGTGAGCTCGTTAATGCAGTCTAGGGGTAAAACACGACAAATCGAAGAGACTCACACGACTTAAACTATGAATACCTTTTTAATTTATGTACAAGATAATGACACTAGGTAAGATCAAAATGTACAGATTCTCAGTGTAATATAAATAAACTCAACTCCAACTTACAGTTTGAGAAAAATCACAATATCACAGCTGTGATAAATCATTACTACACACAACTGAATGGCCTCATAATAATTACAACAAAAGACCAAGGAGAGACAATTTGCCTCTACAACAATAGAAATCCTTATACAGGTTAAACTATCACCGATAGTCAAAAAGGTGTAATAATACACCAGAACACAAATTCAGTAAACTACAACTATTCACATAATTCCTTATACAAAAGGTAAAATCATGTCACAAAATAACAATACTGCAAAATGGCGTACCTAACCACAGGCACACCTCTCCTGGTCCCTAGGTCAATCTGGCGGCCTCTGAACTTG